AGCGCAACTCCGGCCTATTCCAAATGCCCATCGTCCTTGTAAAAATATATCCAAAAACAAAACAAAAAAAGAACAACTCCACAACAGAATACAACGCCGTCGCTTGCCCGCCAAAGAAGTAGTCGTTCAGTCATCATGAGAAAACATCGCCTCCAAAACGCCCGACACTCGCCCAGTCTAACCGTCTAGATTCCTCGAGTTGAGGCCCGCCCCATGAGTACATCTTGGGGTCGGCCAGGCACCCGAGCCCTCCTTGTTGGCACCATTCCACAACCACGGCGTAGATGAACTCAATCTTTGCCCGCAGCAGATTGCTTTCCGTCAGCTCCTTGTAGCTGTCTTCCTTATCCGCTGAGCCATACAGAAGCTGTTGCAGAGAGCCTCGCAGATTAGCACGGGCCTTTACGTGTCTCCATGGCACGCTGCCCGTCTCCTCGAGAAGAGATGTTGCGTCAAGTGGCAGGCACAAAAAGTGTCCATATCCAGCATCTGACGAAAGAACAAGTTTGGTGTGGTCGGGGAAGTTGAACTGCTAACTGTTAGTTTGGCTCGAGAAATGATTGTAAAAAAAGCGCTTACCTGGAACGACCCATCGTCGAACCCCCAGATTCCCACGTTGCCCAGTCGCTGGTAGAACCGGACAAAGTTGACGCGTGGATCTTTCCTCAAAGGCTTCTCCTCATCGCCAAACGTTGCGCACATGTACTTTCCAAACTTATGCCACACTGTCCGGATCTCTTCGACCCGTCGCGAATCAAGCACTTCGATTTGCGACAGTCCTCGGTCCTTCTTGACAGTCGTGTAGTAGTTCAGCGCCACGCTTTTAGCCACCTCTCGGTTGCCTCCGGCTTTCCGGAGATGATTGTATCCGTCGGTTGCAAACGCAATCGTAACCGGGTATTGCTCCTCGGCCGACAATAGCGTTCCGATGCTGCCGTCGCTGAGAACATATCCAACACCATATCGTCGGCTGTAGTCTACCCACTTTGCGACAAATGGCAATTGTGGTGGCTGCTCTCGCCTCGACTTGGTCGGCTTCTTGTCCAGTACTCTCTCGAGGTTGTCTTGGAATGTCATCAAACGCGCCAATACTGCTACAGGGTCCGTTGAAGGCATATCGGAACCAATTGTGCGGTAACGAGGAGTGGTTCTCGAACCCGATGATTGAGGTAACGGCTCCGATCTCTCGCTTTCCCGAGTGCTTGCTTTAGCAACTCGTAGTGGCGGAAGATCGGGAAGTCCTGTTGAGCTGGCCTTTGACGTTTCCTTGGTGGGTTCTTTCACCGCTCTTGAACGAGTTGACGCCCGTGCCTCGCGAGGAACACGTAATGGGGCAGGTGCCGTTGCTGTGTTTGCCGTCACGCGACCAGGATTCGATATCTTGCGAACCGCCCTGAGTCGAGTGGGTTGCTTGTCCAAAATCCGGTGTGCTTGTTCGGGTTCTTGATCTGGGTCTGTGTTTTCCTTGAGTGTCTGTACTGGTGGTTGCTCTCGCCTTGAAGCTCTGGGTACACGGGCTTTGACTCGGTCATTGCCAGTGGTTTCTGAAAGTGCGTGACCCTCTGATGATGATTCCTTCTCCTCTGAAATCTCGCTTAGACCGCCAGGAGCTTGGTGAGGCCATTGCACGCGCGCAGGGAAAGGCACATATACGACGTCCTTGGCAAATGGAATATTGGGCTGCTTGCCAGCCTCAATCTCCTTTTGGCAGTCTCGTGCTACTGTCTTGTTCGACCTGCGACCGTACGCTCCAAATGACTTTCCGGGCTCGTATTCGCCAACGGCAGATGATTTGCAAAGCTGCCACCATTCTTCCGTGTATCCGCGTCTGATTGTCGAAGCAGTCGGTGGGCGGTTCTTGGGCCATTTTGGAATCTTCGAGGTACAGCCGCTATCGAGCTCTAATGGGATGTAGCCTAGCTTGAAAAATGGGTGCGCAACAATCTGGTCAGGTGTTGGTCGCTCATCTTCGTGTACAAGCAGTAGAGAAACAATGTCGCGCAAATCGTCGGTAATCTCGTTCGCAAACTTTGCAAGATCTGGCCAGGTGTATTCGCGAGCCTTTAGTTTTCGGTAAATGTCTTCGCGCTTTGCAGCATGGAACGGCGCCCTGCCCACGGCAAGTGTGTACATCATGATTCCGATGGCCCACAGATCGACCTTCTCGTCGTGGCCCTTTCCAGTCTTCTCCAGGACTTCTGGAGCAAGGTAGTTAGGTGTGCCGCACATGGTTGTTCGACGGATCGCCCCGTAGTCGCTCTGTGACACCAATAGGGCGGCGAGGCCAAAGTCGCCGACCTTGACGTTCATGTCGCGGTCGAGAAAGAGGTTGCCGGTCTTGAGATCGCGATGCACAATGTTGCGCTGGTGCAGGTACTTGATGGCGCCGCATGTCTGGATCATAAATCGCCGGATCTCGGGCATGGTGAAGTATTTGCGCTTCTTGATCGCATCAGCCAGCGAGCCATTCTCGGCCAGCTCGAGAACAACATAGGTGCTCGCCTCGAAGGAGAAGGCGCGGAAGAACTCGACAATGTTGGGATGGGACAGCTTCGAGTGGATCTGGAGCTCAGTCACAAACTGCAGGTGGTGTTAGCGCAGGTCGCATCGTTTTCCTCCAGGTCTTGTGCACCTTTTGCGCCAGCTTGGGAGGCTCCATTTTGGATTTGACAATTTTCAAAGCGACGGTGCTGCTGCCGAGGTGCTCGTGGCCCAGCAGCTTCGCGCGATGGCATATGGCGAAGCCACCTTTTCCGAGCTGCACTCCCGTCTCATACTGAAGGCCTTCGGGGTCCTGCACCACAGCCGGCGGGGCATCTGCGTGTATCGTTGAGGCAGACATTGGCGATGGAGTGTGAGGATGATGAAATCAAAGTCGCAGTGTTGATGGTCGTAAACACGCCGCGGCTTAGCGCCGTTGCTAGGGCCATGGGGGTACTTCCCGATCCGTGCACCGCTGCACTGCTGCGTGCATAACCTTTGGCCTGATACATACATAGTACATACATAGTACATACATCTCGTCAGAGTCTCCAGCCAGTGCCAGATTCGAGCTAGTTGTCGTGTGACCATGTGGCTCTAGTGCATTGGATGGTGTTTTGTTGTTGCTCCGCATCGTCTGGTCGGGCCTTGTTGTCCGGCGTCTGTGGATCGGATCGATGAGGTGCGGGCGGTCGTCAGGCAACTGCAAATCCAACATTCGGCTCCGAACGATGATCAACCACCACGAGCATACATGACCACTCAAGGCTGTCGTCCACCTTTGGATATGTCCTCGTCCCTGTAGAGCCGGCAATGAACCCGCCTTCGCTCATCAATTGCCTGTATATATTCACATACTAGGTAGCCGCAGCACAGTCGTGACCGAACATGTCCCTCACCCTCAAAGTCACCTCGCTGTTCGTCAGGACGCTTGCGAAGCCTGTAGCAGTATGTCCACGCGCCGGTCTATCTCTGGATTTGCTACTGACCCTAGCTAGAATGCGATCAAACGCAATGCGCACGAGCACGAACGCTTTCGCCGAATATGCGTCAAATTTGCCCAAGGACTGCATCGCGTCGACATGCGTATGCGCCTGGGCCTCCTTCAAGACCCCGCCGTCATCGATCGGCAGATCAAAAAAGAAGTCGCCTTGGCAGAGGCCAGACGGAAGGAGGCGGCAGCGCCCACCGTCTTGACTGAAGAGCAGACCAAGGCGGAAGAAGCTCTCTCGGAGAAGGAACGGGAAGCCATCAGGAAGAAGGCAGAAGAAAGGGCCAGACCCCGCATTCGGCCTCTCTCTGAACAAAAGGCCATTGAGATGGGTGCAAACTTTGTTGCCGAATCCTTCATCTTCGCTGTCGGCATTGCAGTGATCCTCGTGGAGCAGTGGAGGCAAAGGAGAAAGGCCAAGAACGCCAGAGACGATATTAGGGAAGACCTAGAGGAGGTGCAGGCGGAACTGAGGGCCGTCAAAGCAGAGCTTGAGGAATTCAAAGCAAAACATCCTGAGCCCACATCTTCTAAGCTACTAGGCTTTTGGAAGGGGCGCGCTGACGAGAAGGGAGCTGAACCTGCAAAAGCCGCAAAGTCCGCGCCTACTGGCACCACAACCACCGTCGACTCAGCAGTTCAGGCTAAGAGCCAAGCTACCGAACAGCAACCAGCAGACAAGGCCTCGCAATCAAAAGACTTGGGAACCCATACGCGAGAGACCTGACCTCGACGGCCTAGACCTTCTCTTGTCATTTTCATACTCCCCTCTCATGATACCCTTCCGGTTGCGGACGTAGGCCTGTGTGTTTTTTTAGAGAAAAAAGAGAGGACAGGCACTGTGTGTTCACCTGTAATATTGCTTCTTGGCGGTTTAACTGGGTTTTACCAAGGATAAATTCATCAAGACAATATTACTTGTGGGTACAAGGTGTTCTTCTTCAGCCAAAATTGGCATGTATAGAGTATAGAGTCAAATTAGATGTATCAATAGCAACCACTACCTGTTGTTATTATGGGCCTTGTCCAGTCAGTGATTCTGATCAGGTCTTTGTGTGAGACACGAATAAGTTGAAGTTCGCGGTTGTGACAGACTACGAGCAGATGTGAGTCGGTCGCTCCTTCTCTTGTATCTTCACCCCTACGCTCCTTCCACTGATCCACAGACTCAAGAATGACACACTCGTCACAACGTCAATCAGATGTCTCTTACTTATATAAACAGACATCTGACACAACGACTACTTTTTAACTCCCACTTACATCCCTGAATCTACTCACCGCGCATAGTACAGCTCCGAACTACGTTCTACTCATTCACCACCTGTCAAAGTAAGCATCACCTACCATCCCAGCCAATGCTCGTACGCACTAATAGCTGATTCATCACAGTGGCTTCATCGCACCAACCCCAATATCACTGCCACCACACACTGCTCTCTTCCAGCGAAGTAGACAAGACCCCAGCCTCAGCTACACAGATTCCCCATGCCACTACCCAACCCACGAAACGGCCCACTCTCCCCAGATGGATGGTGGATCCGAATACCATCATGTACACTATCCCACCCACAATCCAAACTTTGCTCAATCAAGTACCCCCTCGTATCATCGTCAACCACACACTATCCACCCACCTCTTCGCGCTCGCAACATCCCAACCGTACCCTCCTTACCGGTCCCTCCACCACCACCGCCTCTACACCACCAATCACACCCGACAGGAAACACAGTCCGCGACCTCCTTCCTTACTGCACTACCGAGCCACCCTTAAACGAAGCCCAAGTCATTGCTTTGAGCGACGTGGTGGGGAGTCTGAGGGAGCTTGTGCCGTTGGCGCTTGCAGCTGCGGCTGGAGATGAGAGGAGCGTGAGGAAGCTGGAGAGTGCTGTGGGGAAGCGAGATGCGGTGGGTGTTGTGGAGTTTTTTGTGGATGAGTGGGAGGTTGAGGGGTGAGGGTGTGATGGCTTGTTATGAGAACCGGAGCGTGAACGGTGGGAATGTATGGAAAGTGTCTGGTCATGACAATGTATGGTTTAAGTTTGCGTTCCGGCTGCAAGTGAGATGTTTGGAAGGGATCAACGAATGCTCCACGCATCACCCCAGAATCGTAAAGAGGAAACGTTAACGAATGATATTTTTTTCTTGCAAACGATGGGATATCACACAAGTACTTCCCTACGCCATTCTTACCAACAACACTTCCATCTCCCCAATCATTACCACGAAACTACATCACCTCCATCCCACCCCATTCCTCCCTTCATCTCCATCTAACCCGACCCAAAACTCGTAACATTAATCCCTACAGCTGCCAGCGCGGGCCCAACATTCAAATTCAGGTTGATAGTATTACTCTTAATCGCGTCCTCATAATACACAAGATGCTCTCCATTCCTGACGCTCGAATTCCCCGAGATCTGTAGCGGCAGCACCGCATTGTTGTACTTTGACTGGATAAGCCCGAGGATGGAGAGCTGGTCGACGCGGCTCTGGAGCGGGAAGGTGTTGGCGCCGGGCTTGAGGAGGACGTTGGGGATGAGGCAGTAGCCGATGGACTTGCCGTCGACGCCCAGGTTCATGGTTACGTTGCCAAGGTCGAGGGTCATGACCGAGGGGTTGGGGATGCTGACTTGGGCGATGAGGTTAGAGTTGTCGGCGAGGATTTTGTCGCCCGAGAGGATGCTGACGTCGGTGATGTTGAGGCCGGCGAGGCGGTTGAGACCTAGATGATTGTGTCAGTTTTTCTTTTGTGGTGAGAGAGAGAGAGAGAGTATGTTGCAGGGAGAGATATGTGTCACGTACCTTTCATTGTGACAATCTTGTTGTAGTTGACGTCCATGGTGGGAAGGCCACCGAGGTGGATGTTTGTTTTGCCGTCGAGATGGATGGAGAATTCCTCGCTGCCTAGGACGAGCTTGGTGTAGTTTGAAAAGGCATCTTTGTTTGCGAGCTTGAGTTCCTGGTCGACGGTGACGGGTGTCTCTGCCTCGGATTTGACCTGGGGAATGTCGATGTACAAGAAGGGCGTTTGTCCTGCAATTGATAGAGCACCGCGGAAACCATCGATCTTGGGGTGATAGCTGCTGTCACTCCTGATGACCGTGTCGAGCTTCAGATGGATACCATCTGGGGTGGGATTTGTGACTTCTTGAGAGAGAACCTCTATTGTCGAAGCGTTAATCTCACGTTGTGCTCTCTTTGGTATAGCAACGTAAATGATTGGCAGCACGATGATCAATACGATAATCGCAAATACCAGAAGGTCTACCACATGTCAGAGCAAACCGCGGGTTGAAGACATTCTCGGAGATCAGCTCACCGCACCACCAGAACTTCCGGCAATGGTTCTTCATGCGCCCTTTGACGCCTGGCTTCTCACCCGGAGGATATAGTTTGTTCATCACACCACTTCTCTTCTGGGGCGTAGTGTACACACCATCTGTGCGTGTCGTTCCTCCCTTGTCGTCCATCTTGATGTTTCCTCTATGGTGTGCAGGTATAGTATACTTCCAGGAACAAGTCGATTGTTATGATCCTTCGCGTACCAGGGTACGTGAAAGATTGCCAAACTTTGCAGCTATACAATGAGCGCAGAGTCGAGCCGGTATTAAATAGAACAAGAGTGTTTTACCAAGACGATCCAATCATCTCAACAAATGACAATGGAATGCGGGGAAAGCGAATTGCAAAGACGCCGTGACTTGGAGAGGGATGGAAAGACTTGCACATGCCCAGCATGAACCGAGAACCCCTCTCTTGCGAGGTTGTAATTGGCGATGGACCAACAATAAGACATACCGGAGTAAATGTCAAAAAGGGTACAATCCGTAACGGGCCACATAATGGCTTCAGTGAAGAGGATGGGTGGCCCGAGAGTAGCCTTATGTGGTGACACTCCGAGATGTGTGCCACCCTTCCATAGGCAACGGGAGCCCCGGCAAGGTATGCTTGTCAAAACGGGCGGTTGATTGGTGCATGCTTTTTTTTACTACTATTTGTTTGCCAATTGTAAACGGCGTGTGGGTCGCACACAGCTGAAAAGACTCCTGGTGGGTGGCACGAGCGGAGACCAGTAGATCTCAAGTCGTCCTTGGCCTTGAGCAATGGCTCGACGGAATACTTAGAAAAGCGCAAAATGCTTGAGTAGAGTGGCACGCGAACACTGGAGCAAGCCGTGTGTGGATCGGAGAATGAGGGAACAATATCTACCCCGGACCAGTTTGTGACGGTCTTTTCTAGTTGCAGCTAGTGGATGAGAGCCCCTAACAGAGTTGGCCAATCTCAGCAGTGACTGGTCGGCCGTTGATCTGTATTCGGATGCATCGCCTCGTTTTCGCAGACAAGGCGACAGCCCAACCGAGCAGGTAACATGCTATTCTGAATAAACTATTGCTCAGTAGAGGGGGATCGCCATCCCTGCGGCTTCACATGCAATCTACAGATCCGTAATTAAGGGACTATGTGCTGCGACACCTCAGAACCCGTCGCTGTCGAGATGTCGGCCCGCGACATTTGCGCTGTAACGAGTGATAGGGTTCAATGGCACTGATAGGCGCTGATTCGCCTGTAAAAAGGAGGCAGATCATTGTTTTGTCACGATCGAGTCGTGTTTCGCAACGGTGATGCTTGTCGCGTGCACATCCTCGGCCCAAAAGCTAGAAAGAAGGCTTGTCAAAGGATCATCCGTCCCATGTCATGCGGGTGGCGCTGATTGCTGTTCCTGGCTGTTGGAACCCTTTTGCTTTCTTTTGCTCACACCGGCTATACTATATGAATGTAGTACACGGAGGTTACTTTCCTAGTCTATGCCGCTCTGACCGCCTCACCTGCCCTTGCGACGCAGTTTCGGGCTCCGCCTTTGACATGTATGACGAGGGTAAATGCAGTCGAGTATTCTAGCACTAGAAGACGTGTCGTCCAGACAGAAAAAGTCTGGGGGATCGCCCCGCCGTGGCATGCGCCAAGTGGCGCTACCTATGGTGGGTCGCTGGAGCGGTTATTTCGGAGTTGACCCGCGACTCTGCCAAAAACATCTTCGCCCACATCCCGCATCTTGGCACTACAACCATGGCGCAGTCAGACGACGAAGATGATTACATGAACATGGTGTTTGACGAGGCGCCAAAAGGTCCAAAGTATGAAACGTCATTGCAGCGCGCCGCACGCAAGCGCAAAGAGGTACGTCATCCCACTTTGAACACCGCAGCGCCGGGCTAACCACAGGCCAGGGCGAAGCCAGAGCACGGCAGAAGACAAAGGCTGAGCGTGAAGAGGAAGCCGAAGCTGCCCGAGAAGCTGCTCTAGCCACTGCTCTCCCCGAGACAAATAAGGGATTCAAGATGATGGCCAAGTTCGGCTTCAAGCAAGGCGATACGTTGGGAAAGTCTGGTGACGCGCGAAAAGAACCGATACGAGTCAGCCTGAAAGATGATCGGGGAGGAATTGGCCTCGAGTCGGAGAAGAAGCGCAAGTTCAGAGAGCAATTCGAGGAGGCAGACCGACTTGCGAAACGCGCAAAGGAAGAGGAGGGCGATTACCTCGAGGTCATGCGACAGGAGCAAAAAGAGAAGAAGGCCGAAAGAGACTTGGACAACGCGCAGAGGACGGCCGAGCGACTTGCCGACAGAGAGGTAGAAGACAAAGGGGCCAGCGACACGAGTGAGAAGCCGCTCAAGGATATCAACATTCTTTGGCGGGCGCGAGCGCGACGAAGAGTCGAGGCAAAGCGCGATAAGCAGCAGCGGCGAGAACTCAATAATAGTATTGCGTCAAGGCTACCCACACTAGCTCCTGAGGACGAAGACGACGACTCCAAGATAGCTCAGGGTAAGGACCTAGCGCCGTTCTACACGACTCTTGAAAATGAGCTCGAGGATGAAGATCCGGAACTTGCCGAATTTGAGGCCTTGCCTGTGGCAGAGCGTCTCCAAAAGCTGCTGCTTTTCCTTCGTGACAAGTACCATTACTGTCTCTATTGCGGGTATGAGTATCCAGACCCAGAGATGGACGGATGTCCTGGAGTGACCGAAGAAGATCACGACTAAGTATATTATGTGGGTCAAGCTTTTTACATATAACCAGGGTTCAAAGGTATGAAACAGAGTGCCTCTCGTTCAGCCCGTGGGCGACTACAGCAATACGATGCGCTAGTGGGCTGTAGAGCATCGAATGCTTTGTGCAGCAGCAGATGCTCGGTACACTCTAGGCCAGACTGGGAAGCACTCCAGTGACTGGTGATCAAGTCATTATCTATCCAACAATGGCTTCTAGTTTATGCAGGTTGTATAAGTTACTCACCTTGAGCAGACAACCTCAATCGCTAGACAAGGACTACTAGGTATGCACAATAAGAGCATATTAGGTGGTATGATAAGGAAGGTTTAAAAGCTGCGCTACATATTGTTGCATTGGCTAAAGATGCCGTGGTAAACCATGTCGGAGCGCCGTTGATATAGACCCCTGAATAGCACAATGTCAGCTCTTATCTTTAATCCTCCACCTGATTTCTCGTTAAAATAGCGCGTGTGCACTAAACCGTCTTCTTTATCTTTCGCACAGCAAGGCGTTTCCAATGAGCTTTGACCATTTAGTCCCAAGTCCCAAGTCCCGTGCTCACGCGCTTCGCGAATGTCGCGCTTTCCCAACTCAGCCCCTAGCCATTCACTGTCAGTAACATCAACAAGTCAGGGAAACCTCGTGACTGGAACCAAATACAACATGGAGCATCAAAGATGTTACATATATGAGCCCCCACAGACGCAAGATCGGGCGCCCAAGCGACAACGGACGAGCAAATTCAATCCACAGGCGCAGCTACCAGAACGGCTAGCAACGTACCGACGTCTATGGACAGAACAAGAAGAGCGTATCCAAGTAAGACGACAATTATTTAATAATTCCCCGCCGATGCATCTGACAAAAATAAAAGAATACACTTGAAGGCGCCGACAGCGCGACCCAAGAAAAGATTGCCAATTTCATCTCGACAGCAAGTTCATCTCCCGATGAGCCTAAATTCGCCATACCAACGGCGCTCATTGTTGCTGGACCCAGTATCGCATCCCACGGACCCTTTTTTGAACGTCTTGGCCGAAGAGTCAGGGACGAGAACAGCGCTTACGTTGTACTAACCTCGAGTGAATGCCCAAACCTCAAGACGCTGCTGAAGAATCTCATCAAGAAGGTAACTTCGCGCGTAGACGACGATGACGAAGATGATGTAGATCGGCCCTCTGCTTCGTCAAGGTATGGTCCGAAGCTGCTCAATTACGATCTTGCTCATGTTCAGGAATGGCATAAGAAGACACGTGCTTCGAGTATTGTGATTGCTTTGCAGGATAGCGAGGCTTTTGATGTTGGGCTGCTTGTGGACATGGTTGATCTCCTGCAGTAAGTGAATTCTGCTCTCTCGGTCAATTTTGCTGACCCCTACAGCTCATGGCTTGATCGTCTTCCTTTTGTGCTCCTCTTTGGTATTGCGACTTCTGCAGAGAGCTTCGAGGAGCGCCTATCAGGCAACTCGCTACGCTACCTCGAGGGCCAGAAGTTTGATGTCACGCAGTCAGACGAGATTATTGAAAAGCTTTTCCGTGCAACTGTTGCCAGCACTGATGTTGGTCTGCATATTGGACCCACCATCTGTCGTCGCATGCTCGATCGACAGAAAGATCATGTGCAGAATACGCAAGATTTCTGCGACGGGCTCAAGTATACGTACATGTCGCATTTCTACGCCAATGTACCCAGTATATTCCTCACTGATGACCTTGCTTTCGATAGCTTGACGGCAGATGCTTTCAAGGCTGTACGCAACTTGCCGTCCTTCAGGCAACGGGTAGAAGATATGCTGGACAATGGACGCGCGCAAGATGTCCGGAGAATGCTCGAAGACGATGAGTTTCTCTTCAACGAAATCACACAGAGTTTAAAATCTGGTCAACAAGCCATGGCTACACTAAGCCACGCTACAAAGGTCGTAGCAAGCATGCGTGAATCACTCCAACTATCGCCCAACGTCCGGCTTTCGACTCTCTGGACCCGCGCCGCCGCTGGCGAGCTATCCGGATCCCCTTTGATCCGCGAGACCATGCTATCCATTAAGAAGATCCCATCAGATAAACTGGTGCAGCTACTTGCGTCACTTCGAGATCTCGTAGGCACCCACTTCACCCTGGACATCCTCTCTTCCGAGCAAAGACTACAAACCCTCCTCGAGACCGCCGACGCGCCTCTCCGTACCCAACACGACGTCCGCAACGACAGTCTCCGCACCACCGTAGTAGCGCAAAAGGTTCTCTTGAGCAAGCACAAAGCCGCGTTGTCGGAGCAAGATAAAGCATACTCGGATCTCGTAACGCAATTCCACGACGACCTCGACGCGTACCTCGGCACTTCGTTTATCGATCCAAAAACGCTATTTCTCACAGAAGTCTTAGTGTATGATCTCAAGTCTCCGCACATGGAGGTGTTCCAGCCGAAACCCAGATTCGCAGTTGAACGTGCACTGGCGTCTCCTCACGACTATCTAGGCTGCGAGTGCTGCAGCGGTGTAGATGGGAATGCAGCGGCGCTTTCGGCGACGCAGCCCGCAACGGCGATTGTGTATCAGATGTACCTTGAGTCCGGGACGTTGATCAACGTGAGCGATTTGTGGTCAGCATTCAATGCCATTGCGGGGGATGGGGTTGAGGAGAATGAGGCCAAGACTATGTAAGTTTTTTTTTTTTTAGTTTCTGTTTACGAAGATGATTGATACTGATACTAATGTATTGTTGTTTTTTTTCAGGGCACTATTCCAACGAGCATTGGCTGAGCTTAGATATCTGGGTCTCGTTAAACCCAGCCGGAAGAAGACGGATCATATATCCAAAATCATGTGGAAAGGACTGTAAATTTTACATTCTCATAAAGAAAAAGAGCTTTTAAACTTTTTTTCCAATACAAATATGGACCGTATTACTCATATATACATATACACAACTCTATTTCCACCCAAACAAAAAAAAAACCCTCTCTTTTTTTTTCAATCCTTGGGCTTAGGAGCAGTATCACACACAGTCCCACAGCTCTTACACGTCCTCTTGCCCACATCCGCCTTGAACGCCTCGACCGCCTCCTTAATCTGCGTGCCCAAATCCGTACAATGAAAAGCCTCCTCATACACCTGTCCCCCACACCCCTGACAATACCACCTCAGGCGATCCAAACTCCCCTCGGGCCTCTTCTGCTCGAGCACCACACCCACCGTATCCTTGAACCTCACGGGGTTATGCGGGGTATTGGGGGGCAACAAGAACATGTCGCCCTCGTGGATGTGGATGTCGCGGAATTGGCGGCCGGCGGGTTGTGTTTCGTCGACGATTTTGAGGAGCATGGAGCCTTTGTACTGGTAGAACCATTCTGGGGTGGAGTTGACGTGGTAGTCTGTGCGTTGGTTGGGGCCGCCGACGATCATGACGGTTACCGAGTCGTTGTAGACGCAGTAGTTGTTTATTGGGGGTTTGAGCATGTGTGCGTTTTCCGAGACCCTATACATGCGTGGTGGTGTTAGTAATGGGTTGTTTGTGTGGCGAGGCCGGAGGCGGACGGAATGTATAGGTAGTAGTTTACCATTTAGGAATGTTCAAGGGTGGGCCGATTGAGGTGGTGGTGGTGGTGGTAATGGTGGCTGACATGGGTCGCGACGTGCTTGGTGAGGAGCGTTGTATGCGCGGTATAGATTGTGATATGCTTGGTATGCGTCGTCGTGATGTGGTTTGGATGAGTCCGGCAGCTGGTCTCAATGACCGTATTGTCGTCGCCATTGTGAAGGTGCGCGCGCAGTTAAATATAACGTTTTCTTGATATAAAGTTTTCTTGTATACCTGGGAGTGCCGTATAGGTTTGGAAGGGCAGAGAGGGGTTGCTTACGACTCCAAAGTATATGTCGAGGTCTTGGATACAAAAGTCTAGAGTCGAGTCGTTGTTAGGGTCTACATGTGGGGCAAGAGCTTATCGATGTGCCCCGCTTTTACCGCGGGCTTGTGTGCATTGATCACTGGTGCGACGCGTGCGTGCTCACTCTAAACTCCCTCAAACCGCCGCACGTCTCGTGACAGGTCAGCGGCATTAGCTTGGACGCCTCCTTCTCTCCTCATATCACCCTTGCGAGACCCTGATTTTCCTTTGTACACACGATAGACTCTTTGGCACATTTCTTTGCTACTACTGTATTCGCAGCTCACAATGGACCACTCGCACATGGATCACGGCCATATGGACCATGGCCACATGGACCACGGCATGCCTGGCATGGGGGGCGACGGACCAAAGTGTAACATGAATGTACGACAATCAACTGCTCTTTTCAAATCTGGCTGGCTGTGGATGCGCATTGGTCGCTATTCTACCTATACTGAACATTGTTAAAAACAAACCAATAGATGCTGTTTACCTGGGACACGACCGACCTCTGCATCGTCTTTCCTTCATGGCACATTTCAGGCACGGGATCCCTCATCTTCTCGCTGCTAGCCGTGGTGCTTCTCACGGCCGGATACGAAGCAATACGGGAAATGTCGAGGCGGTATGAAAGCCATGCAAAGGGCCTTTTGGAGGGACCGCGAGGTGAGTCTACATGTCATTTTCTTGTGGATCAATGGGAGCCATAAAGAGGTTGTCTCTCGCAGCTTTTGGCCGTGCAAGGGGTTATTTCCACACAGTGTGTTGTGTGAATTGCTCAATGTGCACGACGCAAGCGTGGAAGTCGGAGACTAGGGAGGTCTCTTTTCTTCAACTTCCTTGACCTTGAGTGGGAACCCTTGCTGAGTATTTTTGCGCGCGCCACAAAGAAGATGGCGAACGAACAGATGAATCGAGCTCATTACTTGGCCCAGGGAGAAATGGAAACGCTGGGCGTGGAGCCGTGCAGCAGGTCAAGACGATCAAGGCTGCCTTGTATGCTGTGCAGGTGTTTTACTCGTTTTTCATCATGTAAGTGTATGGATCCGGGCAGTGGTGGGATGTTTGTGCTGACTGGCCGCAGGTTACTGTTCATGACATACAACGGATGGATCATGCTGGCCGTGGCCGTGGGTGCGTTTGTCGGATATATCATGTTCAGCGAGTCGTCGTCGACCAAGTCGGTTGCGTGCCACTGAGCGAGGCTTTTGAGATTGCGGATAGTGGCGGAATATGGACGAAAGTCGGTCAGATGGATTGTGCTCTCGACGGTCGAGACCAGCGGGCATGTTGTTGGTTGCTTCCTGCAATATCCGGGCAAGATGAGTACACGGCTCCAATGGCCTGGGCTGGAGAATCACGCAATGTCAGCAGTGGTGCAAGGGGATAGCTTAGACGGACAAATTACTAGAGCAGTTGCAAAGTCTATGATGATGAGAATACCCGTGGCCCCGTGTCTGGGTGGTTTTTGTGATGGGCAGAGATGTTAGATGCTTGACTGAAAGAGGTAAGCCGATGGAACGCTAAGAATCCACGACATGGACTCCAGGAACACGCAGACGCCACATCTAGGGGGCGACTTGGATTAGAAGAGAAAATAAAAAGGTCGGTATGGGAAGCGAGCGGAGTGGTAGAATCCAAAGACGGTAATGTGGCCCGCTGGTTGTGGTGGGAATAGCACGGGCAAAAGCCGACCGGGCTATGATGGCGTCGCGGGGACAGTTGCCAAAATCAGCATTGCAAGATCAAAATGAGGGCGACGTAGAGCAAGAAATAGTATGCATGCATGCCCTGGGTGTGCCACAGTCAGCCAGACATGAGATGACGCTGCATGTGTCCTGGGCAACCTTCACATGCCGACAGAGGGCTGGGCAGTTCCGACGCGTGACTTGCCCCAGGTTTCGCTGATGCAAGCGCAAGCCCCCAGCCATGTTCCTCGGCCTTGCCAGACTGAGGAGACGCGCTGGGCCGGGGCGAGCCCACCAACCACACCGCCCGCCCGTCTGTCATGTGGGTGCTGGCCACGATGCACAGCAACAGCACCTTCACATGCCACACGAGCACCGAGACTGAACATCGGCTCGACCCAGCTAGCACTTGTACCATCCACTCCCGCACATACGCATACGCACCGCTTGCGATGCTGAGGCTCGCGCTTGGACGTACAAACACGCGCTCCCTCATTGGCCCCGCCGCCATGGACCGGGGCATGCGGGTTAGCGCATTATCCACTTCCGAGGCACAAGTTGCATGCATACAAAGCAGAAGCCGCTCCCCCAGACTTTTCCTCTGCTCTCCTGTTCTCCAGACTCTCTTCATCTCCTTCTCTCCTTCTCCTTGTTTTCATCTGCATCCATCATCATGCCCGAGAGAGTCATTGTCGTCGGTGCTGGCTGTACGCATTCCCGCTGACTTCGCTGCTGTGATGCGCATGACTTACTGACATGACCTACAGTGTCCGGCTTGAGCGCCGCCCACACCATCTACCTGGCTGGAGGCAATGTAGTCCTCCTCGACAAGAACAGTAGGTTTTGCGCAAAGCTGCCGCCTTCCATCTCAAGAGCGCCGCCGGTGCTAACTCGGCGCAGACTTTATGGGAGGCAACTCCACCAAGGCCACATCCGGAATCAACGGTGCCCTCACCAGGACGCAGGTTGATGCAAAGATTGGCGACAGCGTCAAGCAGTTCTACGATGACACACTCAAGTCGGCGCGCGACAAGGCCCGCCCAGACTTGATCAAGGTCCTCACCTACAAGTCGGCCGCTGCCGTCGAGTGGCTGATGGACGTCTTCAACCTTGACCTGACTCTCGTCTCGCGCTTGGGGTGCGTTTTCCTCTAACACGCCAGCTCTGACATGCGCATACTGACAAGCCCCCCAGTGGTCACTCCCAGCCCCGAACTCACCGTGGCCACGACGCAAAGTTCCCCGGTATGGCCATCACATATGCTCTGATGCAGCGATTCGAGGAGCTTGCCGAGCAAGAGCCAGAGCGTGTCCAGCTGGTCAAGAAGGCCAAGGTCACCAAGGTCAACACCGAGGGCAACCGCGCCACCGGTGTCACATATACCTTCAACGGCGAGGAGACGACGCTTGAGGGCCCTGTCATCCTGGCTACGGGTGGTTACGCCGCCGACTTCACAGAAGACTCCCTTCTCAAGAAGTGGAGGCCAGACACCTACGACCTCTCCACCACCAACGGCGCCCACGCTACTGGTGACGGACACAAGATGCTGATGAAGATTGGCGCCAATGGCATTGACATGGACAAGGTCCAGGTCCACCCCACTGGTCTTGTAGACCCCAAGGATCCCACTGCCAAGACCAAGTTCCTGGCTGCCGAAGGTACCTACACACAGGCTTATTCTTGACAAACATGCGCTGACATTATCTAGCTCTCCGTGGTGAGGGCGGTATCCTCCTCAACAACAAGGGCAAGCGTTTCTGCGACGACCTCGGTCACCGCGACTACGTCTCCGGCATGATGTGGGGCGAGAAGGAGAAGGGCAACTGGCCCATCCGCCTCGTGCTCAACTCCAAGGCATCCAACATTCTTGACTTCCACACCAGGCATTACTCTGGCCGTGGTCTGATGAAGAAGATGTCCGGCAAGGAGCTGGCCAAGGAGATTGGTGTCAGCGAGAAGGAGCTCCAGGCCGAGTTCCAGAGCTACAACTCGATTGCCAAGGGCGAGAAGAAGGACGAGTGGAACAAGAAGTACTTCCACAACCTGCCCTTTGACATCAACGACACCTTCCACGTTGCCCAGATGGAGCCTGTGCTCCACTTCACCATGGGTGGTATCGAGATCAACGACCAGGCGCAGTGCTTGAACTCCAACGGCGAGCCATTCGAGGGTCTGTACGTCTGCGGTGAGCTTGCTGGCGGTGTACACGGCGCCAACCGTCTCGGTGGATCATCACTCCTCGGCTGCGTTGTCTACGGTCGCGTAGCCGGAGAGTCTGCGTCCAAGTACCTCTTCCAACAGGCGCTCAACAAGGCCGGCGGTGCTGCAGTATCTCGTCTCGGTCAAATCTCGCTCCACATTGACCCGTCGCAGCCCGGCAAGGTGTCTGTAGAGTGGGGTAACGGCGTGCAGACTAGTGTTAGCTCGGCAGACCCTGTTGCACAACAGAAGCAGCTGTCGGCGGCACCTGTCCTGTCGAGCAAGGCCGACTCGAGCGATCCTGGCAAGGTTTCCAAGCCCAATGCGCCTCAAAAGTTCACCATCCCTGACAAGGAGTTTACTCTCGAGGAGGTTGCCAAGCACAACAAGAAGGACGATCTGTGGATTGCTGTAAAAGGCATTGTCATGGACGTCACCAACTGGACGGACGAGCACCCAGGCGGCCCCCAGGCGCTCTTCAGCCACATGGGCAAGGACGCGTCGGAGGAGTTTGAGATGTTGCACGACGATGAGGTTATTCCCAAGTATGCGCCCGAAATTGTCATCGGACGTGTCAAGGGCCAAAAGGTTACTCTGGAATACTAGAGGTTGGATTACATACTGTCTGTACTTATAGCCTGTTCTTTTGAAATGATATCATTTGCCTGTTCATAATCTTCTTGAATTGCTGGAGCATGAAGCACATACTGTTGAGTGTGCGCGTGCATTGTGAAATCGAGGTGTAGGCCGCATAGAGGCAACCTGCGGTACCGCAAGCTGGCCCTTGGACCCTGGCTGCAATTTCCCCAGACCCAGGGCCACGATTGCCACACATGAATTGCCCCCCCTTGAGCATTTCCCCAGCGTAATGACTACCACCGCGTAGCCACTTTTCGCACACTCACACCCTCTTGGTCCAAAGATGCTGCGCCAGTCGTTCCTCTTCTTTTCCATCAGACAATGACGACATATGACGAGTATGGCGTTCCCGTCGGCGCATACTCTGAGCCAGAGAGTTTGACATACCAAGCCTGGAGGCTTGCCCGAGCATTCTACCTGTACCGGATACGCCCTGCCGTGCAGGAGAGGCGGAATGCCCTACGCAATTCCACATGGAGTCCCCGCCAGCTTTTTAGTCTGGTGAATGCGCTCGTCGTGGTGTGGTGGGTTGTCCTGTACTGGGGTGAGCGAGGCGTCTTCAACAGCGCCATCGAGAGCTGCAACTGGGACAAGTGGGAAGACTGGGTATGTAAATTGTGCAAATGATGAACGAGGAATGCGCAAAGCTGACTGCACCATGTAGGAAGCCGGCGCAAACCCACACAGGCTCATCTTTGTCGCCGACCCGCAGCTCATTGACCCACATACGTATCCTGGCCGCCCGTGGCCTCTGAATCCCTTGGCCTACAAGTACACCGACCTCTATCTACGGCGAACGTACTCGCGCTTCCAGACCGTTCTCTACCCCGATACCATCTTTTTCCTTGGCGACCTCTTTGACGGCGGTCGTGAGTGGTCGACGCGCACAACTACCTCGCCCGAGCAGCAATACCGCAGATATGGCAACGACTTTTGGCAGAAGGAATACATGCGTTTTAGCGATTTGTTCTTCAAGCATTGGGGTGATGGAGGCATGGACCCACGGCCGGGGCAGCCAGGGAGGAAGCTCATAACCAGTCTGCCCGGCAACCACGACCTGGGATTCGCAAGAGGCGTGCAGATTGGGGTGAGGAATCGCTTCAATGCCTATTTTGGTGACGGGAACAGGATCGATGTCATTGCAAATCATACGTTTGTCTCAATTGACAGCGTATCGCTGAGCGCACTTGGCCAGGATTCACCGGAGCAAGTGGAAAACATCTGGCGACCTACAAAGGACTTTCTCGAGGATGCAAAGAAGCGCAAGAGACGGCTTGTACAACGCGAACTCCGCGCCCAGCAGGGTCTGAGGCCATACCCCGGCATGCCCCATTACGATATTAAAGCGGAGGATTTGGCAAAGTCTCAGCTCCCACATGCAAACGACGATGTGACTGAGTTCCCAACCATTCTCCTTTCACACGTCCCACTCTTCCGCCCGCCAGGTACGCCCTGTGGTCCTCTTCGCGAACACTGGCCCCCAACTCCTCCTCTACCCGGCCAACCCCCTCTCGAACACGACGACCGCAATGCCATTTCCGTGCGCGGCGGCTACCAGTACCAAAACGTGCTCAACCGCGAGATCACAGCCGACATCGCCGAAAAGGTCGGAGACATCCGCTATGCCTTCTCGGGCGATGACCACGATTACTGCGAGGTCCTCCACAAAGCCTACACCAGCGCCGGCGGCGGTATCCGCGAAATAACCGTCAAAAGCATCAGCTGGGCCATGGGCGTCCGCCTCCCAGGAATCGTCCTCCTCTCCCTCTGGAACCCCGTCGACTCGCACGGCAACCCCAAATCCGGCGACGCCAGCAAAACAGTCCAATCTAAACTCTGCATTCTCCCCGACCAAATCGGTACCTTTCTCAAATACGGCCTCCTCTTCGGTTTCACCTTTCTCCTACTTACACTCCGCGCCGCTCTCCTAGCATCAGGCATCTTACCCACCGCCCCCGAAGCACCAGACCTTCCTCTCCTCCCCACCACCACCACAACCACCACTAACGCATCTCCGTCCATGTCCATGTCCTCTGCCGAACACGAAAAATCAACAGCTCAATACCTGCCCGCTGCCTCGGAATACGAAACTCACTCCTCGCACTCGTCCACGTCGTCGGATCGCAGTACGGTTAATAATCCTGGTGTGCGCACTACGAGAGCGCATACGAGGAGTAATATCGCAATGGAGAATGAGGATAGTAAACCGAGGATTTATGGGAGTTATCAAGATGCTGCTGCTGGTGGTGTGACTACGGCAAAGACTGCAAGGAGGGGAAGGAAGAAAGGTGGTTTTGAGATTTTTGGGGGGGAGCTGAGGGGTGGATTGGCGACGGTGGTTTTGTGGGGAGGTTTGTGGTATGTTTTTCTGGTTTGGAGGGGATGAATGTGTAGTGTGAAGAAGTTCAAACTTGAGTATTTTAGAAGGAATCGTTTCGGTACTTTTTATTTTTATTTATTTTTTGGTTTGTAAGAACAACTTGACTCATGGGTTTTTTTTTGAGTGGCATTTATTGAGATAAGATGATGCGAGCTCCTTGGAAAATTCAACTCCACGATAATCTCATCAAAGCACTATAGTAGTACAAGCGTTCAAATTTCTGACAGACTATGCGTCTATTCACCATCCATCTATCAATCACCTCGTTTGCTCCACAGCAACAGCAAGCACCACCTACAACTTGAAATTCTCAATCCACTTCCTCGCCTCCTCAACACCCTCATCAACCTTGTCCACAATCGTACCCTGACCAATCGCAGTAGGGGCACCAGGCTTACCACCAGCCTTACCACCGATAATGGGTGTGACTGCAGAAGCCCACTTGGGGCCGTCTGCGCCTGCGTTCTTGAACGGCTATCTTACATCAGCATTTTCCATTCTTCTCAAAGTGATAGTAGAGTTGGGAAGGGCAATAAGGGAAAACTCACCTCACTAACATAGCACCCGTGCACCACCTTGCCCTCCTCAGGCGAGGCAGAAAACAAGTACAACGAGCGATCTTTAAGTGCGCTCTTGGGACCGGAAATCGTCTTGATGACTTCGCTGATGGCCTTGTTGACGTTACTTGACCATTCGAGCTTCTTGACCATGAACTTGTTGTTCTCGTCCTCAAAGAACTTTGTGACTTCGTCGAGAACACGCTTGTTATCAGCCTTGGCCGCAGCTTTCTGTTCGTCAAGGATACTCTTCTGGATCTTCCCGAATTGCTCGCGGAGTTTGTTTTTGGACAGGGCGGAGATGGTCAGGTTGTTGAGGTCAACACCGATTTTCTTTGCTTCGGCCTCTTTTTGGGGCCCAAAGGGCATTTTGCCCATGGCTTCGACGCGTTCTTGGAATTCGCCGGCGACGCGCTGGACGTTGTAGGCTTCTTGACCTGTTACGGCGACGATACGACGGATGCCCTTTGCGATACCGGATTCCTCGAGGATGACGAGGTCTTTGATCTCACCAGTCTTGAGTACGTGGGTTCCACCACAGAACTCGATTGAGAGCTTTTCCCACTGCTCGTTCTTGACATCTTTGAGGAGGTCCTCGACGGGTACACCGACTGAGACAACACGGACTGGGTCAGGATATGTCTCACCGAAGACAGCACGTACGCCTCGAATCTCCTTTGCAGACGCAAGCGGTACCTCTTTGGCATACACTTGTTTGTCTTCCTTGATGTATGAGGACGAGATTCTCTCCACCTTGTCAAGCTCCGCATCCGACAAACCAGCCTTGTGTGAAAAGTCAAAGCGTAGCTTCTCTGGTGCAACAAGCGAACCCTTTTGATCGACTTCGTTGCCGAGGACCTCGCGAAGGGCGTAGTTCAAGACGTGTGTGCCTGTGTGGTTGTTGCGGATAGGATGTCTCCGTAGCTCATCAAACTCGGCAATGACCTCGTTGCCTACGCTCAACTCTCCGTACTTGATGTAGCCAGTATGCAATACATAACCAGCATACACCTGGACATTCTCAATGCTGATTTCAGCCTCGCCGTCAACCAGCAGCTTTCCAGTGTCGAACTCTTGACCACCTTGCTCAGCATAGAAATTTGTGCGATCAAGCAAGACACCAAACTGCTCGCCCTTGGGCACCTCGGCAGTGCTCTTGAGGAACTTCTTGTTGTGATATATGGCCTTGATAACGGCAGTGATGTTTTCGCGGCCGTACTTTGGTGAATCATCCGTCTTTGGAACCTCTGGCATGTTTTCCAGCGCACCGAGGTCGTGTACGTCAAACTTGACCAGCAGACCAGCAGCCTTTTTGTCGCCTTTGCTGGCCTCGCGAGCCTTTTCTTGTGCCACCTCGACTTCCTTGTCATTGATCTTCAAGCCCCGCTCTTCAGCCATGAGTTTTGTCAGATCAACAGGGAAACCGTAGGTGTCGTACAACCGCCAAACATCGTCTCCTGGCAGCTCATCTGATCCCTTCGTCTTCGCTTTTTGGGCGTATTTTTCGAAAATGGATTCACCGCGATCCAGTGACTTGGCAAATGCCTTTTCCTCCTCGTCCAGGATCTCAATGATATCCTGCTGCTTCTTCCTGATTTCAGGGAACATGTCTCCCATCTGTTCGACGAGTGTGGGGATAATCTTGGAGAAGAAGTCACCAATCTCACAGGCAAAATACTTGCGCGCATAGCGAGCGCCTCTTCGCAGCACTCGACGCACAACGTATCCTCGGCCAACGTTGTTCGGTACACCACCGTCGGCAATGGCAAAGCTCATCATTCGGACGTGGTCTGCGACGACTCGGTATGCGGTATCGATACCATCGGGGTCCTCATCGCCAAACTTGCCCCTGTACTCGCGTGCTCCAGTAATTTCCTGAATCTTCTGGAACAATGGCGTGAAAACATCAGTGTCGTAGTTTGACTTTTTGTGTTGCAGTACCGAGACAAGTCGCTCATATCCCATACCGGTATCAATGTGCTTGTTGGGCAGGGGTCGCAGTGATCGGTCGGGTTCGCGGTTGTACTGCATGAAGACGTTGTTCCAGATCTCAATGACCTCGGGGTCGTCCATGTTGACGAGCGAAGCGGCATTTCTGTACTCGCCATTCTCAGGCTCCCTCAAGTCATAGTGCACCTCTGAGCAAGGCCCACATGGACCCTGGTCGCCCATCTCCCAAAAGTTGTCCTTCATGTCGCCAGGCAGAATGTGGTCCTCGGGCACACCAGCCTTGAGCCACAGCTCCTTGGCCTCGAGATCTGGCTCCAGCTCGTCGGTGCCTTCAAAGTAGGTGACATAGAGCCTCTTGGGGTCGATGCCGTAGACCTTTGTGAGCAGCTCCCAGGTGAAGCCAACAGCCTCCTTCTTGAAGTAGTCGCCGAAGCTCCAGTTGCCCAGCATCTCAAAGAAGGTGTGGTGGTAGCTGTCCTTGCCGACATCGTCGAGATCGTTGTGCTTTCCGCCGGCACGAATGCATTTTTGCGAGTTTGCGGCGCGCTTGAGCTGGGCAAAGTCGGACGAGGGGTCGATTGTGCCTTGGAAGATGGCCTTGTACTGGTTCATGCCCGCATTGGTGAAGAGGAGGGTGGGGTCGGAGAGGGGCACGACCGATGAGGAGGGGACTGTTTGTTGTCGGAGTCAATTGACATGATGCTGGAGAAGGAGAGAGAGGGGCAGCAAAGGCCGTGGGAGTGGGGTGAGAGCCTACCAAACGTGTGCCCGTGCTCCTTGAAGTAGTCGAGAAAGGTCTGGCGCACGCGGACGGCGCCCCATTCGTGCTTCTCCTGGGCGAGTGACATGGTTGCGGCCGGCGCGGTGGTGGTAGTGGTGAGGGAGGAGGGGTCAGGGGAGGAGGAGGAGGAGGGGCAGGGAGAGATGGAGGGGTGTCGGGGTCTGCAAAGCGGGCGCGTGCAGGAGAATAGGCGAGGGGAGAAGGCCGTGGGCAGAGTCAATGGCAATGGGCCGCTGATGGCTCTGGGCCCTGGGTGACTCAGAGGGGCGGCCGCTATCTTGCGGTGCAGCAGCAGCAGCAGCATTCACCCACCAGGCCTAACACCAGCCCAAAACCAGACAACAACGGTGGGTGCGTGGGTGCGTGGGTGCGTGGGCGGAACGGCGCCGAGAACTGCTGCAGGCGCATAAGCCCATACACAGTAAGCCCATAAGCCCATAGGCGATGTAAGTACTTAGCACGACGTAGTAGCGGCATCATAGGCGAATGCGGGGCGGGCGTCTGCCATCATGGGTGGTGGGTGGTGGCCCTTCTGGAAGCTTCACGCACCTGCGCCTAGCCTCCTGCCGCTGCCGCCCCCATCCGCCTATAACACGCCAATCCACCATGTCCCTGACATCCCCCCCGATGTCCCCCGAACGACCCTGAGAACGGCCAGCCAGGATACTTGCATGTTGGCCTTTTTCTTCTTCTCCAAAAAATCTGCCCGATCTGAACATTCCCAAGCGACGCAGATTGCAATGCATGCATGGCCCAAGTCGTAGCGCACAGTAGCCAGGCCCGGCCCGCTTCCTATGCGCAACAGCAGAATGCGCCTCATGGCAAGAAGAGGCCTGCCGATGGCTCGCTGGAGAACGAGCAGCGGCTGAGCAAGCGCTTTGATCTGTTGAATCTGGGTATGTCGTCTTCACCCGTTGCATAAGGCATAAAGTACATCGTAACTAACATCACCATGCACAGTCGACCACAACGGCACGCGCCTCTACATACCCGTCCCAGGCTCCTCGCAAGGCACAACCACCACACAATCCCAATCGTCGCCTACTCCCGTCGCCGACGCCCTGGCCTTCGCCTCCACCCGCCCCCGCCGCAACCGCAAGCCACGGGCCCACGACACCATGGACATCGAAGACACCCCCCACCGCGTCTACATCTCGGACCTCAGCGCCGAGCTCAGCGACATCGAGTCGGACGAGGAAAACCCCATTTTCCTCTCCGACATTGAAAAGCACCTCTCCAGGATCCCCGCCCACGTCCTGCGTGGCCCGGACCCAACGCCTAACCCCCAGAACCAGATGGTGCTGTACAATGTTCCGACTAGCTTGACGGTGCCTGAGGCGCAGGATAATGTCAGGAAAGCAATTGTGGAGACGCGCCAGCGGATTAGGGATAGGCAGGTTAATCCGGTTACGGAGCCGCCAGGTGTTTTTGTAAGAGGTGCGGAGACGGGAGGTGCAGAGTCGAGCATGGTGGTGGAGAGGAGTAATGATATACCCCCCGCCGACGAAGTAGGCGGAGATGCCATGGACATTGATTAATCCGTTTGTTTATGCTTTTTTTTTCTTCTCATCATATCACGGCTTTTATACCGTATGCATACACACACCCACATATAGTCGTGCATACGCATTTCAACTCACGAATGTCACGACCCTGCAATATAAGTAGCATCTCTTTTGGAATCAATCAAACAAATAAATTCAACAAATAAACGCTCGCTTTGCTTCATGTGAATTAACGTAAAAAAAAAGGATGCTGATGCTTTCCATCTCATATCCTCCCACCCCTTTGATTACAAGTATGTCTTTTTTTGTACAAAGACTACCCCTCCCCCTTTCAAAAAAAAGAATACACGGGGCATGATCCAGTCACACACACTCTTTGAATTCTCTCAATAATGATGATTTTCTTATACAATGGATAGAAAGAAACTTTCATATTTTTTTTTCTTCTTTTTTTCGTTTCTCTCTGCAGAGGGGACCGACAGTCAGTTTTACCGCCTAAATCGGCCCAAGACTCCCATAATCTTGGCTTGAGCTGGTCGGGGCGGCAATTCCTGGGATGATGCTTGCCCTTGCTCGACGTCTGATGTAGCAGGAGCACTGCCTACCACCCCGCTCTGTTGGGGTCCGGGTGCCATTGGTGGACCGCTATACTGTCCCATTTCCATGGCGTACTGGTTCGGAGTCGTCTTTGCAGGGCCCTGTGGTGCGAAGTACTGCGGCGGCGCATCGTTGTTTTGATACAGTGGCGGGGGTTCCGCCCACGCGCCGTCTTGACGCTGCGTGTACTGGGGATTTGCGCCGTTGTTGGTGGCATAAGGGTTTTGTGTTTGGTAGAAGGTGAAGTGGTTTTGGGGCACTTGACCGTGGCGTTGGCGTTCAGAGTAGGAGATTAGGAACTAGATGGATGTTAGTAAACTACACTTTGTATCATACGTGGAAAGGAAGAAGGAACGTACGCGGTGATACGACAGTAGTGGTAGACCCTTTCGTAACCGTTGCTTTGCGTGGATGCGGCCGCCGACGAACCAGCCAAAGAATATGATGAAGAACAGTGCGAAGACGATCCATTTGATGATGATGCCCCTCTGTTGATCTCAAAGTTAGTTTTCTCCTTTTAGAGTTATTGCTGACAAGTTGAATAATAACACATACCTCTGTGTACCAGAACCCGTCCTCGACAAAACATTCTGTATCGCCGTCCACCGTCTCAGCGCAATAATACCTCTTTAACAGAGCCATGGCTGTATATGTGTATATATGTGTGTATATGCAAATATCCACTTATGCAAGCGGACACGTCTCCCGGGTATATTGATCAAAACAAATGCAAACAATAAAAATGATGAGCAAGCCGGAAATCAGATATGGAAAGCGGAGAGGACTAGGGGTGTAGGAGAAGGGAATCTCCAAGGGAAAAAAATATAAAAAAAACAATGTAAGGAGGAACGTGGGGAATCAGAAAGCGCGAGTCGTATAGTAATAATAAGAGGGCGCGAAAGCGGATTGCTGCGCAGGGCCAGAAGGATGATATGCAGCCCCTCTCAGCGGGTAGCGGGCGGGAACAAGCTGCGCCACTCAAACTCGCAGTTGGCTCGCCTTCGGTCGCCCGAGATGCCGCGGGGATTGTGTGTGTCGCGTCTGGGAGAGGATTTAGCAACGGGCGGTGTTTCACCCGTGTGTGGCGTGGGTGTGTGGTGGTTTCAAGTTTGCAGCAGGCAGGCAGCCAACGTCGACTTTGAAGGAGGGGGGACACTGGTTGCCGGACGACTAGTATGGAGGAGTGACAGGATGCAGGCGATTGAGCAACGAGGATGAGGTTGTTGTTGTAGGAAAGGCTAAAAATATACGTGCGGAATTGGGGGAGCGAGAGGAGGGAACACAAGGAGAAAAAAGAAAAAAGAAAGTGGAGATGAATGATAGTTGTGTGGCTGGTGAGGAGTCGAGGTTGGGGAAGAGAGGAGGTCGGGATGATGGGGGTGGAGCAGGAGGGAGACATGGTTAGCATATGCAAGGGACGCGCGGATTGGCGTGGCGTGGACCGGGTCGACGAGGCGTTTTTCCCCTTGCAGGGCTGGCGTGCCCCAGCCCCAGAAAGCTTATTGTCGTCGTCGTCGCCCACATGACTGCCACTGGCATACGTCAGCTTGCCCTACCGGCGCCGAACCCTCTGCCCTTACGACACTTACGCTCCTCACATCAGCCTCGTAAAGGATTATCATACCGTGGCCGTAGCGCCATTGATTTCGGAAAAAGTAAGCATCCAAACCGTGCCGCGACACTTGTTGAGGGCGAGTAGTCGATATTGAAACATGTTTTCTTTGGTGCGCGCGTTAGCCACGCTCAACCAGCCATGTCCGCCTTTCTTGGCTCCCTGACAATGAATCATAGACGCTGCCCTGCCCGCTACCTGCTACCACTACCTCCACTACCTGCTACCCTCCGCTCCGCCGGGAGCCTCACGCAAAACAAAGAATGACAACCATTGACCAAGAAAGACGTTGTGGTATAATGCCACCAAACGCCGGGAGCCAAAAAAAGTCACAGACCCAACAATGCCCCTATCACATGCAACTGTTAATCCCTTTGCCCTGCCTGCCCTGCCCTGCCCTCCCTCGCCACACTCCGAATCTCCTGTCTGGTTTCGCAATCCCAAGTAGAGTACTGCATCGCTGACCACAGGTATCCCTACACTCCATGCTATAAAAATGCCAAAAGGCATCGACTCCAACCCCATGCTTCAAGCATAGACAAAATAACGTCAAAGAGAAAAGAAAGAAAAAAAAGAAAGAGTCAAACCCAGTTGTGTACAATTACATCAAAGTAGAGTAAGCAAAAGTCTAATGCAGCAAGTTGCGAAGTGATGGACTGGCACTTGCCCCCGTGCTTGCTCGTTCAGTTGGCGCCGATGTCACCACCGGAGCATCCCGCATCACTGCGTCCATAGGGGTAGCCGGCCCGCCAGTTGCAGGACTACCATGGATCCCCGGGTATTGCGCTACCGCAGGAGGCGGAGGTGCAATGAATGCGCTTTCGCGTGAGGCTGGGTGTGCGTGATGATGCGTGGGCGAGTACGGTATTGTCCTAGGCGACGGCATTGCGCCATTCACCAGCATAGAGCCGTTGCCTTGATGCAGCTGTGGTGGTCCGCTAATAGGCGGTCCCGAGTACGGTGGCCGAAGCCCTGCTGCTACAATCGCCGAGTGCATCGGCGCACCCGAAAATGCCGCGTATCCATTCGGCTGAGGCGGATATGGGGCGTGGTAAGGAGCGTTGTGGCCTACTGTTGGAGCTGGTAGCGGTGGGGGTACGTATCCGGTACCATTGGGTAGGTGATGGCCAGGCCCAGGCGGTACACCACTGTGCCATGACGGCAGTGGAGGCGGTTGGTTTGGTGGGCCACCAGGCAGTGTCCATGCACCAGCCAACGCAGGTGGTGGTGGCGGCGCATATTGGGGAATCTGCGCTGCAGGTAGGGGGTACGGCGGCGGCGGCTCTTTGAATATCGAGACTGACCTCGCTCGCTCCTCTTCCTCTTCATCCGTCCCGTTCTTCCTCTTCCAATGGCATTTTTGACAGAGATAGGCACCAGACGAAGCAACTGCCCCTCTGGTATCCAAGCGCAGGCTCTTGCTTTTAGGCGAAGCAACAGCTGGGGCGTCCAACATGGCATGGTCTTCGCTACCGTTGCCATTGACGATTTTGCCCTCCTCGACAAGGGGCTTCCTCTCCATATGGCCGCTCAGGTCCCCGCCACTCTTCATGTCCAGCGGGCCATCCACAACCCGGGAAACTTGTCCTGGTGTCACTTCCCCATCCACCTTCCACCATCGCGGACTAGCTTCAATCTTGCAGCGTACGCACTTGCGCTCAGACTTGTACACTAATGGCTCACTTGGCTCTTCCTTGACAGATATGCCTGCGTTCGATTGTCGTCCTCGTGCAGAAGTGGGAGTAGGGGCCGTGACCGCGGATGCTCTACGGTTAGTTGGTGCCTGCACAGCCTGTGGGGCGATGCGCGTCGACTGATCAACAAGATTGGCCTTGCGGGCTGTACCCGTTAGGGTAAGATCGGCCTGTTTGAATTCGCGAGCAAAGAGTTGGAGCGCAATCAGATCTGTTCCTTCCACTTCCTCGTTCATGGGATGAACAATCGTCTTGGGAGTATGCTCTTTGCACCAGATTGCCGCAATCAGGGTTCCCGTTTCCCCATTCATAGTCACTGTGGGTACTGCGTCTCTGCGGGAGACCTTGACCGGGGTCATGTCGAAACCGAGTATGTACCCATGGTTGTGAGCACAGCCAACGTGGAATGTTGCGTGACACTGCAGACACGACGTGCATGCACCCTTGGTCGTTTTGCACAGCTTGCAGACTGCGTCATATCGAAGCGTTGGCGCTCCGATGCCCTCGACCATATCCAGGCGGGCTGCGTTGCTGAATTTGATCTCAGCGTGCCAGAGGGCACAGTACACGTGTACCCAGTTGTTGTCAGCGGTTCGCTTGAGCGGCTCACGAGGAACAAGTGGCCGGCCTTTCTCCTGCTGCCGAAGACGATATTCCTCTTTGGCCTTGTCGACAAGCTCCTTCTCCAGCCGCTCCTTCTCCCGATCGCGGTCAGTCTTTTTCTTGTGCGTAACCTTTGGTTGCTCATAAAATTCTTGTTCTGTATCTTTCTGAGGGCATAGAACGCATTCGTACGTCTGAAGTGTATTAGTATAGTTCCGTCAATGTAGCAAATTTGACTTACATATGAGACGCTTTCCTTCTTATCATTCTTGCATGGATCACAGTACCACTTGTTGGCTTGTCGTGTTTCTTCAACACCATAGCAGGCTTTGTGGACCGTCATCTTGCAAGCCGCACATTCCAAACGTGTGCCTTCTGCCGATCGACACACAGCGCAGGGCAAAGCTCGATACTTTGGGGGCGACGGGACTGGAGGAGGAGTAGGTGCTTTGACGACTGGGGCAGGCTTCTCCTTCTTTTCCTTCTTCGGAACAGGTTCGCTGACTGGTGTCGATGTTCCACTGTCTCCATTCACAGCGGCCACAGTCTTCTGCTTCTTCTTTGGGGGCTCTGCAACTGGTTGGGCTGTAGCGGCTGGGAGCTCGATGTACTCGGGAGTAGCATTCTTCGAGCTGGGATCTGACTGTGCAGCGTAGACCTCGCGCAGGAGCTCCTCGTCAATACGTCTCTTCCAGGCCTTTCCTCCACCTTGTGCAACCTTCTTAGCAATCTCATCGACGTTTTCCCATGTCACTGCGTACTTGCGCCACAAGTTTGCACAACGTAGACAAAGCGCAATCAGGAACCCAGTCTTGTCCTTGGAACGGCCATCAGGCGGCACCATCTGGCCAGGAGTCACGCCTGGAGCCCGTCTCCATTGTCGAGAATGTCGAACTGCGCAGAACTTGCATTGGAATACTCGTTTGCGTTGGATGGCCTTGGCACTGTCAAATGCTGAATCGTCCTGGTCGTCCGCAACATCATCAACAAGGCGAGCTTGTGCGTCAGGCTCAACTTTCTTGGTCCGACCTTTCCGACTGCTGTATGAGCCCCAGATTTCTCTTCCTTTCGGTGTCTTCTTCCACATGTAGTAGTAGCGTACGGCGTCTCCATAGAACATGGTCTTGCTGGTGTGCTGGCGGACGAGCCTGATCTCTGAACCGTACTTTGCAACACCTTCGTTCCACTTCTTTTCTTCTTCCTTGGTTAGCTCGGGTTCCCTCAGGTCTCTCCGCTTGTCAATCTTCTTGACATGCTTCAAAGCAACATCGGCGTCGTATTGATGCTTAGTGAACAGAGCCAAGCACTTGTCCAAGAAATTTGTGTTGTAGGGCTCTACTCCAACGTGCGACTTGGCCAAGGCTTTCGCTCGGTCCATATAAGCCTTGACTTGCTCTTCGGTGACTGTTGGGGGATTGTCTTCTCCGCGTGTCGAATGTACTCCCAAAGGAGGCATCTTGAAGATCAGTTCCGCAGTGCATTTGGGATCCTTGTTCGGCAAGTCTTCACCACGGCGAACATAACCAGGAGGTTCATCCATGACCCATTTGGGGCGCTTAGCCTTCTCTGCCTTGTCGGCTTCGATTGCAGCGACGGTTTCTTTGGACAGCTTGCCTTCTTTCTTGTTACCTGCTGCCTTGACATATCGCTTCTTAATCTCTGCAGGCTTGACGAATTCGACAGGGTGCCCGTGCCAGACATTGACATTGGCTTGGTGTCTGGGACCTAGCCGTGAACTGGCGCGAGGATAGATTGCTCGATCATCGTACTGCAGTGCGTCCTCTACCCGGCAGTGGATGCCAAGGTACCGCATAGGCCACATCTTGGCTAGAGCGATCTCTGCCTGCGTGGCAGGATGTGTGTCGATTTGCGAATCAGGATCCGGGGTTGGTGCATTGGTGTCGACGCCGGCCTCTTCCTCTTCCTCGTCTATCACCTCTTCTTCTTCGGCATCTTCATTGGTGGTGCCCAGACGCGCCTCTAATTTCTTCTCTTGAGCCCTGCTGCATGGCCCGCAAGCCCAAGCAAAACCACGGGATGGCTTCTTCAGGAGCGGTGGGCGAACACAGTTCATGTGATATGTGTTGTGGCATACTGCACATTCAACCGAATCATTCCTAATCAAGTTAGCGTTGTCACGTGGACAGTTGAATGAAAGACATACGCTGCGCAATATCCAATACAACGCTTGCAGCTCTTGACGGCGCTGGTCAATTCTTTGACGCGACTGGTCTCGAGACAAATGTACTTCCATCGTTCGTCGAGCGCCTTCTTGACCTTGTCCGGGACATTGATGACCGAGGACACCGGGATGACGTCGTACCAGCGATGAATGAAGCGATCAAAGACTTGGTTGAACCAGAAACTGTCCTTGGTCTTGCGGTACTCGTCCAAGTCGCCAATCTCGCTGCGATGCAGAATCTGGCATTTCCCCCGGAGGGATGCAATGGGACAGAGGTCCGAGTGCATCGTCGCATAGACAAGACGAGTGTCATTGTTGTAGCGCTGCACGTCTCGTGGGCGATAGAACCAATTGACGCGCAAAGACTCGACCCGCTTCTTGGGGTCGTTGTCGACGTGGATGAATTCCATGACCCGGCAGAGGTAGTAGGGCTCGCCGGGCGGCTCGCACACAAGGTACACTTGATCTGGACGTCCAATTAGAATGCATTGCTCAACCCGCAGGACGTGGCTGGCGTAACGGAGCGACCGTCAGCTGCAGCCCAGGCAGAAGACAACTTACCATTGACAGACACGGTCTGGCCATCGTCAGCCTCGAGGCGGCCGTTTTTGAGAATGGCAGCCGTGTTCTCAAAAGTCATCATGTTGGACTCTCGCGCGCTGCTGGCGGCCACCATGGTGCTGGCCTGACTGCCGCGCTTCGCCCCTGCTTGGCTTGGCGCTGTGGCACTTGCGTGACTACCATTTGCGGCACTGGCAGCAGCGTTTTTGCGCCGTTTTGTTGGGGGCTGAGGCTGCGAGGTGCTAGACTGAGTCGATGCAGCCGTGGCTGAGGTGCTGGGAGCAGTGGGATTCGCCGCGCTGTCCTTGGTGTTGGAGCCGGAATTACCCCACGACCCATTGCCTTGTGCAGGGCCGGAACCTTTCTTTCCACTCACACTCGAAGCATGCCCGCTGTCGGGAGCCACGGAACTACGCGACGGTGGATCAGACACGTTGCCATTCGCAGATGCAGCTGGCACTTCAAAGTCCATTTCGGCGTCCTCTGCGTAATTAGGTCGCGACCGGCCTGGGCGGCCTCGCGAGCGCGTGCCATAGGATGATGCTGCTGCCTCACCATTTTGCTCGGGCTCCTTGGATGATGGTTTCGTTTTGCTAGAGGCACCATTGGCCGCTTCCAGGGAGGGTTGCACGTCGTCCATGGCTGAAGACGCGTCGTCGGCGTCTGGTGCGGGTTGGCGCACCTCGAGAGAAGCAGCGGGAGTCGAGTTCCGGGTGGAAGAAGCCCTGCTGGTGGATTTTGAAGGCGCTACTTCTGACGCAGCGCCGGGTGGAGGCTGTAGGCTGTTTGGCGCGTCCTCTTCGTTGCGCGGTGATGGGGCATTAGACAGGCCTCCAGTCGTCGAGGACGGAGCCTCGCCCCCGTCCGTCTTTGCGTCGGCCATGGCGAGTCTTGCACGGGGTAATGGACTTGATACAAACAACGGGCCAAAAGGCGGCGTGGAACCCTCTCAAAGCAGGCGCGGGCTGTCGCCGGGGTTGTTGGTGAAGGAAAAGCCCGTCAAGTAGGGATATCAACGTAGCATGAGAATGCCCATGAGCGCATACACACGAACTTGGTGGGCAGTGAGTTCAAAGCAGGCAATTTTGGAGATTGTAGACGTTTGTCCTGATGGGGCCGATGGCGAAACCAGGTATTGTTTCACGATCTGGCGGGAGAAAGCGAGGCGGAGGGTTGAGGGCAGTGGAGAAGGGAGCAGTGGTTGAAGGAATTGAGAGATGGCGAGGGCGGGATAGACTCGCTGTAGTATGGGTCTAACGGTGCCAAGCAAGGCCCAAGGCTATGTCCGTGGGACCTAGTTCTTTCTTACGCATATCTCTCTTTCTCATCGGTGCTTGCTCGCAACAGCACCCTCGCCGCAGCGCCAACACCCTCCCATGCCGCAGTGCTGCCCGCTGTGCTTCATCCGCTGGGGGTCCGCTGCTGAGGGGCCTCTGGGGACCGCGTGGTTTTTATCATGGGCGTGTTTTTTTTTTTGCGTCGTTCATGTTCACACGCTTCGTCAACCCACGATCTCCACTACCCCTGTCTAATACTCATAGCCAACGCCCCGCTCATACGGCCATTATCTCTGCTATTTGGCAAGTTCTCCCAGATGTCTCAGTCGTGGTGCCGCACACATGGCCAGTCTGCACAAGGGTGACAGTCCAGGCACACTGCCTGGTAGCAGTCTGTCCGGACACCACAGCCTGCCCGCCCCATCGGACACATGCGCCCCATGGTCTGATACTGCGCTGGATCTCACAATGAGCGCCGTGTGCGCGGCGTGGGGACACTGAGGAAGGTTGAAGGAGGCGATGTATGGTGGTCTACGTACTAAATAGATTTAGCGCTCGACAGGGGTCCAACGACATCTCGCAGCTCGTTCGACAGAGTCGTGGATGGGCATGCCGCATCTTCCACGACACACATCCATCGTCACACTGGCTGGCCAAGTTGCTGTCGAGCGCCTGCTGCTCACGCGACGGCCAAACTCATGGCGCGCCGCTCTTGTTGATTGCTAACAATGTCTTCCGCGGTCCTGGCTGGCCTGCTAAGCTTGCTCGCGTATGACTCTCTTACACACACAACCACTGCCTCGGGCCACATCAGCCCGGTCTCAGACGGCCCGACCATGTTCATCTCCAACCTGCGTTGTGTTGAGGCCGCATGTTTAGAGCGCTCGCCGTTGTGTCGCACGTCTGTCCGCGAAGCGGTGATGCAGCCGTTCGGTTCGCGGGATTACCCAGCGGCATCACTAGAGTAGGCAGGGCCCTGGCCGCCCCCTTCCAAACACCAGCCGCACGCCAGCAAATCCTCATCAGCGTCACACTGCCCGCTCCCCATTCGCCCGACTGGCCCAGCAAAATCCAGATCGTTACCGACACTCGCTTTGTGACTACTGCCGCCCACCCACTCACGACACTGGTTGCGGCCAGGGTGCAATCTAGCCGTGAGCCTGTGCCCATTTTCTGCTCAAGCATCCAACAAGGCAGAACCATGTCGGCACAAACTCATTATGCCACTGTCAACAGTTGCCCGTGGTCAAATGCATATTCGCGCGTTCCCGACACCAGTCAAGATCACCGTTGCCAAAATTCAGCAGAGCTTCGGATTAAGGTGCCTCGGTTGCTTGCGGAACACGCAGTCGGCCTTACAAGGGTGATCCCATCACTAAGTGCCTCCAATTGCTGGCAGCTTTAACCACAGGGACAACACGATAATGTGGAATTACTTCTTCTATGTGGGTGACACCGACTTGAGAGTTGCTTATGGTGATACTAACGACATGAAATATGTGTGGGAGTATGGACAGCGTCCTGGTTGACATGGAAGCAGATGGAATCGTAAGGACCGTATTCGGATGCCTCATGGTCATGAGTCCACTGCGACACCCATACATGATGAATTAGAAGCCAGTTTTGTGGCCTTGGCAAACCTGTCTGAAGAGATAGGAAAATTAAAGGTACAATCAAACATCGCAAAGGACAACATGTCTTCTTACAGAACAACGTATATTGTGCAATCTCTGGGTGCGTCGTCCCAGGGTCAAAAACAGTGCGTACGAGGAGTGGCAAAAATGCTCCCGACTGCGGATATTACCAACAGGCCCTCAGGGGCAGATCAGGATGACAGTAAAGAACCATGAGTCTGAACTCCTGGAACAGGACTAGTTTGACTTGACATATTTTTTCTGCTTTGAGCAGGAGAAAAACAGGCAGCAGCAACGTTAGAGAACGGAAAGCACTCCGGTGGTCTCGGTGACGCCAAAGAGTTGTGCGGCAGGGTGCCCAATAGGTGCAGACCAGCCTCGAGGTGAGAATCGACAATTCCAAAACCATGTGGCAAAGCGATCGCTGCGGGTGCAAGTAGACGTCTACTAGCCAGACTAATATATCGGAGATACGCGACCTCTAATAGGCGCTTTACTGATCTTATCCCGGCAGCAGACACTGTGGACCAAAAAGACTGACGGACGGAGCCTTGTTTCCATTTGACGAGCGACTTCCTGACATGTACTCATGTGTGGCGCGCGCTTCTCCTTTTCCGTTATTCTATCCAGGCCCTGATTTCGTCACACTCAGCCCACAATCCGCACTCTGCATGAACAAATATGGTATACGGGAACAACCACTCTGATCCAAGACTGGGCCTGCGGCAAGAGTTTTGACGTTTTATGCACACGACCAGGTCTGCCCAATAACTTGCTTTCTGCCGGGGTGTGGCCGCCACTCAAAAGACGCGGACAAGGCCGTCTCCACCACCCAGTATGATTCTGACATCAGATGACCACAGGCAATCTCATCGTGCGAAAACCAAAAACACGAACAAGCCATTTTTTTCTCATCGCCTTATTGACAGTATTCGAGCAGTGAAACCTTTTTTTCTCTCTCGGTAAATGGGCATTACTTAGTTCACGGTCTGGATGGGGGCTTCTGATGACATATGTGTGTGTGTGTCTATGCCCGAGATGATGCCGGTCTGACCTGCATTGACGCACGGACCATGGCCATCTTATTAGCTGCGCTAGTAGCCCCAGTGTGGATCCCCGTCCACGCGACGACCCGATTTCACCCAAGCTCACACAGTCAGGCAAATGTGGAGAAGCAACATGGTGATTCAATTACGCAGGGCACAATCACAATCAACAACCGACAATCAATTCAATTACTACAAAAACAGCCTTTTGAATGGTTGGTTTATCAAACAAACAAAATAACTATGCTCGTATTAAACCTCGACCCCGGCGATCGCCCTGATCACCTTGATCGACCATGCGTTTGAGAAACATGCGGCCATTGCAAAGCGTAGCGTGTCACCCCGTTTACAAAGCGAAAACAGCAAGGAGACCGGCAAGACCAGCGCCGAAGAATTGGGCAGAGGTCTTGTCGGCTGCGCCAGCTGCGGCAGTAGACGAAGGCCGGCCAGCAGATCCAGAGGCAGAGCCAGAAGGAGAGCCAGATGGGGACTGAGATCCTAGTGCACGGTTAGCAGATGATCGTCACAGGCAGAATACCGAGTGTTTTGCAACATACCTCCGGTAGTAGTGGGCCTAGCAGAGTTGGCGCCGGCACCAGCAGCAGCGCCGCTGGAAGGAGCGTTGCTGGGAGCAGCAGCACCAGCACCAGCCGGGCTATCGACGAATGCAGTCTGGCTGCTGGGGAAGTGGTTGGTGATGCAAGTGTCGACACACTTGGAGTAAGCATCGGTGGCCGCAGGAGAACCATCGCCCTGGTCGCACTTGGCGGCGCACTCGTTGGTCTCGATGACCTGGGAAGCGTTGGGGCGAGCGTTGCCCAAGCATGCGGCCTGGCAGTTGACATCGCCTGCATTGCAAGCCATAGCACACTGGACGGCGGATGAGAGCGCAGTCGACGCGGGCGCCGAGGATCCAGTGGTGGTGGTGATGCTCTGGGCCGAGGCGCCAATGGCGAAGAGGATGACGGTAGAGTACTTCATTGTGTCGTGTGGTTGCGTGTGGCGTAAATTAGTATGGATAAGTAGCAATTAGCGAGCGTGGATGATGGAGCAGTATGTACAGCCAAAAAGAAACGAGTGTGGGCGTGTGCAACGAGAATCTGGGGCAGCAAGCCTAGCTTTTATTGTGCCTGAGCAAACCCGGTTATTACATAGGGGCATAGCGAGTCACGCTTTCGTAGCCCTTTTATTAGCTTTGACTATACCGAGGTGGGTATCGGCCGTCGGCCCGACAGCACGATACGAATGCACGTCGGTAGAACCCTACAAGTGGGAAACCGCGGCCGTTACAGGGGTCAGCCTGCCTTTCCGCATTCATCTTACCACACGCGCTGAACACCGACGCGTCGTGCCCTTCACCCCAACGCCGCTGTCAAACCTTGCTGCCTTGGCCGTCACCCACCATGGATGACAGTGACAGCGACAGTGACGACTACGGCGATGAGTTTGATGATACCGAGTTCCTGAACGTCGCTACCCAGGCCGAAGAGGAGACTGCTCGTGCATTTCGACCTTCCCCACGGTCCGTCAAGCGGCAAAGAGCCAGCAGTACGACCAAGCGAGCAGCATCCAGCTCTACCAGAGCACAAACCAGCCGTCGGAAAGGCCCTTTTGTGTCTTCTGATGAGGGCGAAGACAGTAGTCAAGAAGACGCCCATGCATTGTCCGAGCCAGACAGCGAAAACCTGTCGCCCCCTCGCAAGGCCGCTTCGTCGAGTCGTAGGAAAAAAGCGACATCGACATCTGGCGAAAATGACGTTTCTGAAACAGATTTTGCATCACCTACAAAGGCCACAGCAGCCAATAAGCGTCAGGAACGCATCCACATTCCAACTACGCATATAGACTTGCCAGACGTCTTTTATACGCAGCCGCCACAGGAACACTCGCCACCTTGGAAGCCAAGAGGTGCAATATGGGCAAAGCAATCCACCACCATAGGTGTGCACAAACCCCCTAGGTCAGTCAAGGGGCCCGAATTAAATGCAACCAAGACCGTGTCTTTGCCGGGTAGAAAGTCGATACCGTCTCGGCCAACCCCACAAGCACCACCATCTCCAGATCTATTCGATTCGACTATCGACTTGGACGAGTCTCCTCAATTACCGGTTCTAGCAGAACGTACGGGAGGCACTGTGACTCCTGAGTATGACTTCACACAAGACCTAGCCGACCTTCCATCTGATGCATTCGCTTCTTCGTCCTCGTCTCCGCAGAAGCAAGCTGAGCCTGAAACTGCCAGTGCTAGCAAGCGTCCTGTGGCACCTCAGACAGGCCTACGACAGACAACGCTGTTTGGATCCGTTGGCGCCAACAACAGTACATCGCAATCTCAGGTGAACAAGCGTTACAGCTTCGTTGTTGATCAGAAAGCAGAGCCTCCCACCCACCACAAGCTCAACCCAGAAGCCATCAAGACATGGGTTTATCCGACGAATCTGGGTACCATTCGAGACTATCAGTTCAACATTGTTCAAAGAGGCCTTTTCAACAACCTATTGGTTGCTCTCCCTACTGGTCTTGGTAAGACATTTATTGCCGCGACTATCATTCTCAACTGGTTCCGATGGACGGTCGACTCTCAAATCGTCTTTGTTGCCCCCACTAAACCTCTGGTAGCCCAGCAAGTTGAAGCCTGCTTCAAGATTGCAGGTATCCCCCGCTCATATACCACAATGCTCACGGGAGGCGTCCAAACAGGCTTAAGAGCTGAAGAGTGGAAGGAAAAGAGAGTCTTCTTCATGACACCACAGACGCTTTTGAACGATTTGAAGGCTGGATATGCGGATCCAAAAAAGATTGTGCTACTGGTGGTCGACGAAGCTCACCGAGCCACGGGTGCATATGCGTATGTCGAAGTCGTTAGCTTCCTCCGACGTTTCAATACTAGCTTCCGCGTCTTGGCACTGACAGCCACTCCTGGAGCAGATGTGGAGTCCGTGCAGAAGGTCATCGACGGTCTCGACATTTCCAAGGTGGAGATTCGGACGGAGAACTCTATGGACATATGCAGCTACGTACATCAGCGCAAGATCGACAAGCAAGTTTTTCAGAATACGGACGAGATGGAGATGTGCATGGACCTCTACAGCGAGGCCCTACAGCCTTTGGTGAATACAATTGCCGGTCTGAATGCATACTGGAGCAAGGACCCGCGCGATCTAACACCCTTTGGCTGCCAACAAGCCAAGAAGAAGTGGTTTCAAGAAGCTGGACGTAACGCAAATCGGGGCCTCCAAAGCACTGTGCACACAATCTTTGCGATTCTTGCATCCATCTCGCACGGAATGGATCTCTTGAAATTTCATGGTGTAGGTCCTTTCTATATCAAGATGAAGGAATTTCAAGACGAAAGTGCAAAGACAAAGTCAAAATACAAGAAACAGGTTCTCGACAGCGATGCCTGGAAGAAGCTCATGGGACGTCTTCAAGTGTGGATGGCTGATGAAAACTTTGTTGGCCATCCGAAGTTGGAGTATCTACAACAAGTCGTGCTGGACCACTTTGTCAATGCAGAAGACGGTCAAGGCGTTAATGGTGCAGCCTCTTCACAAACGAGGATCATGGTGTTTGCACATTTTCGTGACAGCGCTGAGGAAATTGCGCGCATTCTGAAGAGACATGAGCCAATGATTCGTCCGCGAATCTTTGTCGGACAAGCACACGGGAAAAACTCAGAAGGCATGAAGCAGAAAGATCAATTAGAGGCTATTGAAAGATTTAAGAATGGCGAATTCAACACACTCATTGCTACTTCGATCGGCGAAGAGGGTCTGGATATCGGTGAGGTAGATCTCATCATTTGCTACGACTCAAAAGCATCGCCTATTCGTATGCTGCAACGAATGGGCCGTACGGGAAGAAAGCGTGAGGGAAGAATTGTTATGCTCCAAATGCAAGGCAAAGAAGAGAACGATGCGAACAAGGCAAACGACAGCTACCTCAAGATGCAAGAACTTATTGCCGCAGGCACTCATTTCAACTTCCACGACGACATATCTCGCAGAATCCTGCCGGCGGATGTAAAGCCCGTTGTCGACCGGCGTATCGTGGATATACCAGTTGAAAATTCACAACAAGACTGGCTTCCAGAACCGAAGAAAGGACGACGTGCGAAGAAGCCCGAAAAGAAGTTCCATATGCCCGACAACGTCATCACTGGCTTCGTCACTGCAGGTCGGATGGACGAGGAAATTGTGCCAAAAGGTCGTGGAAAGAAAGCGGTCGCACCTAGTTATCCAAGCGAGGAGCCGTTCACAATGCCTTCATTGGAGGAGGTACTTCTCAGCGATGAAGCAACTCAAGATCTTGAGAAAAGATACCAGACGGTATTCGACGACGACGATGCTCCCATGGTCGATGTACTCGATCTAGGGAAATACCCTGAGCGACAACGGATCTTGCCCTACTCAGCTCGCCGGGTTGGCCCAGGTCATGCTACACAAGCATTTGCTTCCATGATGCAACGTATGCATGACATGGACCACAGTCGTCTTGATAGTTTCAAACTCAATTTACACTTTTCCGACTGCGAATCAGACATTGGGGACGATCTTGTTGTCCCGGAACCGGAACCAGAACCAGCACTTGTCATTGACGACGACATGTGGGAAGATGACCAACCCGCATCCCAAGGGCTTAAGACAAAGGCAAAATCTGTGTCAAACCCGAAAGCAAGTGCGCCAGCAAAACCTAAGGAGAAGGCGATACCAAAACTAAAAGAAAGAGCGATACCAAAGCCGAAAGAGAAACCTTTGCCAAGATCGAAGGAGAATGTGGTTCCGAAGACGCCACAGACTCCAGCACCTCGTGGCCGCACACAGAAAGTTAGTGCTGTCACACAAACACCTGTCAATCAGTCAATAGTGGATGACGAAACCCCAAGAACAAAGACGCCTAATTGGCGTGTATCTAGACTCGCTCAAGAGGGCAATGAATCTTCCCCGCCGCCAACAGACCCTCGATTCCGAGTTGCATCTCAAGCCGATACAATTGGATCGGATGACACGTTGGGTGAGGATGAGCCCCAAGATACACAGGCATATTTGCTAGACTCTGAGCTTGCCAGCTTCATTGTTGAGGGCGAGGAAGAAGAGGTAGCTCCAACTTCGAGTCTACCCAGTCTTGACCTTTCTGGCCTCGGAGCAGGAACACAAGCAGTTGTCAAGGCCGGCCGCGCCAAGAGGACCCCGAAACGACAGAAGATTTTTACGAGCGACGCTTCAGACGATGACGCAGTTGTCAGTAGTGATAGCGATGACGACGCACCGCTCGCTAAACCTGTGGCAGGTGCGAGCAGGAAGCAATTGGTGGTTGTGGATTCGGCTTCTGAATTGGAGGATGATGAACCTGCCTTTCCCAGGAAGAGGGCTAGACGGATAATTGATGATGATACAGATGACGAATGAAGAAACCCATATGACGGGGGCACGCGTTGGTTTGTGGTTAGAAATAGTGTAGGTGTACAGGGATTGTGTAAAAGACCAACTTCTCACACGATAGAGCACTAATATGACTGATACCCTGTAATGATTCTTCGTAAATCTTAGTCGAATTGCTTCCAATACTCTGGTTCGAAGGCGTCCATGTTCTGCGTAAAAGGTTCGCCAGCCTTGACCCAACCTTTGATGCCACCAGCCAAAGTCAACGACTTGATTTTGTCATCGCCCTTTTCGGCAATGTAATCTGCGAACCAGCCCGAACATCTTGGCCCTCTCCCGTTAGATGACCCTGGTGCGTCTCAGCCGACATTGTCTACAAACTTGTGCACACGTATGCAGCATTCGTATTTCAGCAAGGCAGGCTTCCAGGTGGCATGCAACTCACGCCACTCGCGCCTTGTTTTTCCATCTAAGCATCACGTTGGGACGAAAAATGATAGACTCACCGCAGTAAAAAGCAACTCTGGTGACGCCGGCGCGCCTGCACAGATCGTATAAGACACCCCTGTTCAGGTAAAACGAATGTGCAGGCAGGTTGAT